CAGCAAATCGAACGCACAGTTGAATAGAGCTCTGTGATTGGTTCGTATGTCACCCTGTGCGTCCATGCGCACTATGAGACCTCATAGTAATGTTTGTGAATACTTGCGGAAGTTAATTACAATATTGTGTTTGAAGAACAATTGAGCAATTAAATATCACCAAAGAAATGAATCTGCCCACACGCAACACTGGACACCTCATTGTTAGGCCTAATAACATAAAGAGATTGATTGACACCTTTAGGCAAGATGGTTATGTAAATGCCAGATTATTTAATAACTTGCGTCTACATACCTAGGTTTTGTTTCTCAACTATAGCAATGTTCTAAGAATTGTCTTAAAATAGAAAGACAAACGTAATAGTTATTTGTTCAACTAAAACTCTATTGACTTATATTATTTGGCACTAAATGCCTTCTTCTACCTTCTAACTTGTTATATCTGAGAAAAAATATATCTATCTATAAACAATAAAGCTTCATGTAAATATCTACTTTAAAAATATGTAAGATTCCACAATTAATCAAACAATAATAATTATTATAAGAACGATTAGTGCACCTGTTACAACTATTTATGAAGCCTCAGTGTTTAGCTTGGACGTGGACAACAATAATAACGTAAACTTGAAAGCATTCGAGTAAAAATACTTAGTTGGATTTTCATAAAGCTTTTAGTTATTGATGGGTGAACTAAAAGTATTCTAAACTACAATGATGAAGTAATGCGCGCTTATTAATAAACTACTAGCTTTCCGCCCGCGGCTTCGCCCGCGTGGAATTTTGTCTGTCACAGAAAAACTTTATCGCGCGCGTCCCTGTTTCAAAAACCGGGATAAAAACTATCCTATGTTCTTTCCCGGGACTCAAACTATCCCTATGCCAAATTTCATCAAAATCGGTTGCGAGGTTTAAGCGGGAAAGCGTAACAGACAGACAGACAGACAGACAGACAGACAGACAGACAGACAGACAGAGTTACTTTCGCATTTATAATATTAGTTGGGATTGGTTGGGAAGTTGGGATTATCGTTTTATTACATACTAGCGGCCGCCCGCGACTTCGTACGCTTGGATCCCGTTTTACCCCCTTCATCTACCTTACGCGGTTTAGATTTTTTCATACAAATGTTTTTTCCCGCTAACTTAATTTAATTTAAGAATTTTGCAATATCCTGTTATAACTAAGCTTTAAGTTTACTAAGGTACCTGCTTGCCGAATTTCAAGCGTCNTATAGGTAATAGAGCCTTGACTTTTGTCTCTATTAAAGTCTATTATTTCTGTTTATAGTTTTAAAGCTTTTTGGGTCTGTCGATATTTTTTATATCAAAGAATTCTTTGATGAAACCATTCGGGCTAGGACGCGCGCCGTGATAAAATCTTATCGATGATTTTAGATGACAAATGTATGGGCTTATCGCGTGAAATCGATAAAATGGCGTGATTGATTATGCTATCACGGCGCGCATCCTAGACCTACTGGTAATGATTTATATTATGCTATAATGCTCTAATAGTAGTGCATTTAACCTATGATAAAAATAGTATTATGTATTATTATGATAGTAATAGTAAAAATGTAGTTTTCATGGGAAGTAAAATTGTTTTAAAATGTTAGAAAAAATTAGTTAACTCGTTGAAAAAAACCTAAAATAACTTTAATGATATATTATTGCTCTGGTATATCACGTATACCGAAGCGATATAAAAACCTTAACACATAACGTATTCACGGAATCCAGCGCAGTTAATGTTTATGTCTTACAATTAATTTAACAGATGTTAAAGTACCAATAAAGATTATTGAGGCATGAGATTTTTTATGGCTAGTGCTAAAAAAATATTGCGATACGCAATAGTTGATATTAAAGAGGTAGACGAGATAAAACATAGCAGTGTTATGTTATCAGTACCTCTAGTACGAAAAACTTTCGAGTTCGTTTCGTTGCGTATTCAAAGTGTCATCGAAAAATTTTGTATGAAAAATTAAACAGCGCCCCCTAGGGCGGCTATAATATAGGGGGCGCTGTTTAATTTTTCATACAAAATTTTTCGATGACACTTTGAATACGCAACGAAACGAACTCGAAAGTTTTTCCTACTAGAGGTACTGTGGTTGTGATATGATTTAAAGTTACTGTTCCAAGTAGAAGGTCTTTTGAATTTTGTTTTTCTCTTTAAAATCTTTTTTAAATTATTTTCTAAGATATCACGTTTTATATCAAGTGTTATTATTGTATTATAACCATGGTTTGACTTAATGCTATTTGAATCTACACTAAATACTGATATACAGAACCACGACCTATTTAGTGCACATATTTTTATTCTAATTAGGTCATTTTTTACTCTACATAATGGGAATTTTAAAAAACACTTTTATATGTCAATTGGTTATCTATGTTAATATATTGAGACTTAAACCCGTTCTTTGTTCAATCTAACCTCGGATGAACAACACTAAATCTAGATAATACAACGTAATCAGCATTGACCTACTAAGTATACGAAATACTTTATTTAAACGACATTTTTTTGCATTTCATCTGAATGAACTTTTGAAAACAAAGGCCGATTCAAAAAGTCATCATGACTAAGATTTTATTCTAATAAGTTATTAAATATTAAAGTTTTTATTCCAATGGAATAAGTTCTAGTTTCTTTCAGCACGTGTTTTTCTCATAAGTTGTATGTATAATTATTCTTTATTGGCGCGAATAATACTTTAAACTTCTGTGTGATTTACACCACAAATATTTATTTATTTTATTTTATTTAATATTAATATATAAAATCTAAACCATATTTAACTTGGATTACTTACTTAGTTAACAAATCTTTAAAGTGTTTTGGACACTTTTTTCTGGACTTGTGCGAAAATTATAACTATTTATGGAAAAATTAAATGATTCTAAAACGGTGCAATAAGCGTTATTTACGAGCAAGTCTATTAATAAAACATTATTATCATATGTAGAGTCAACAGCATATTAAACTAACAGAAAACGACTACCGATTATAAACTTCTTATCCAAACTACAAGGTTCAAGATAAATTGGCAAATATTATGTTGGTTTGTTGTCTGCACAATGGTTAGTGTGGCAGAGCTTTATCGAACCTGGGAAAAGTACCGTATTCACAAACGCTACTTGCTTAAGTGAAGCAGCAAATCGAACGCACAGTTCAATAGAGCTCTTTGATTGGTTCGTGAGTCACCCTGTGCGTCCACGCGCACTGTGAGACCTCATAGTAATGTTTGTGAATACTTGCGGAAGTAAATTATATTGTGTCATCGTACTTTGAAGAACAATTGAGCAATTAAATATCACCAAAGAAATGAATCTGCCCACACGCAACACTGGACACCTCATTGTTAGGCCTAATAATATAAAGAGATTGATTGACACCTTTAGGCAATATGGTTATGTAAATGCCAGATTATTTAATAACTTGCAACTACATACCTATCTAGGTTTTGTTTCTCAACTATAGCAATGTTCTAAGAATGGTCTTAAAATAGAAAGACAAACGTAATAAGTAGTTATTTGTTCAACTAAAACTCTATTGACTTATATTATTTGCACTAAATGCCTTCTTCTACCTTCTAACTTGTTATATCTGAGAAAAAATATATCTATCTATAAACAATAAGGCTTCATGTAAATACCTACTTTAAAAATATGTATCATTGCACAATTATCAAACAACAATAATAATTATTAGAACTATTAGTGCACCTGTTACAACTATTTATGAAGCCTCAGTGTTTAGCTTGGACGTGGACAACAATAATAACGTAAACTTGAAAGCATTCGAGTAAAAATATTTAGTTGGATTTTCATAAAGCTTTTAGTTATTGATGGGTGAACTAAAAGATTTCTAAGCTACAATGATGAAGTAATGCGCGCTTATTAAACTATACTATGAACATATTTACATGAATCACTAAAAAGATTAATGGCAGACTAAAGTGGGAGCGGTCCTGGCATATATCGCAAATTGCTTGGAAAGTACGTATCGCGATCGCGAATCGCGCCTGAATCATCTACGGTTGCGCAAACCGTCTAAGGAAGGCCCGTGCTCAGGCGCATGTGAGTTGGCCAACACATGCACAAATGTCGCTACAAATATCAAACGTTGACCTGATCACCTGACCCCATGGTTAAAGCTAGTGTTTCTTTTAGCGCACTAAAATTGATAGAAATATCGTTAACACTGTTGAGAAGCAATCGATCGGGATATTTCGATGCTTAAAGTTCAGTGTTGCAGCAAACGATCATTCATTGGCAAACCGGCAGCTGACTTACATAACCCGAACATCTGATTTAAATCACGGGCTCATATATCACTGTTGACAAAAATGTAAATTTCAAATTGGTTTTGGTAACGATCGGGTGCGGCTTTTCGATGAGCGACGCGTGATGGGTGCGTGACTTCTGGGCTTTACCGTATTAATGTTTCCAAAAGTAGGACATCATTCGATTTTGTTAACAAATGTGTAATTAACTAAATATCGAAACGTGAACTTTAAATGTCACCAGTTAACAGAGAAATATTAAATATATTAAAGCCAACTTGAAAAGTAGCCATAATACTCGTAGGTACCTACTATCATTTTAGTTTTGGTATTATTCATCTAGACATGATTGTCTAGATGGCAAAGATTGGCAATTTTATCCTAAAGACTACAGTTTTAAATAGAAGTTTATCATCAAACTAAATGACTTTGATAGTAAACTGTGTAGGCCACGGTCTTTATAACAAAACAACGCTCAAAACTGGATTCAATTTCAGTCATATTTCTCCTGTCTATGAATTAAACCTTATGCATGCAATGAAATGAAATTCAAATACTGAAAAGCTTCAATCTAAGTTTTGAATTTAATTGAGTTTTGTTATTTATTATGCACTGTAGATTCTAACTGAAACTAATGTTTCATTCTTACGACATATCACTTAGTTATCGTTATTTCAATTATATTATTTTTTGTTTTTCCAGGGAGAACATCTTCCCACACCACCGCCGATTCCGCCGGCGATTCAGAAGGCCCTCGAATACTTGAAGTCTCTGCCGCCCACTGCCGCCGGAGCCTCCTCCAACGTCCAGCCCCAGTACCAACCTGCACCGTTTAAGAATAAAGGACGGTTCTAAAAGCCCCTAGAATCACGAAATATATTTTGACTCATATACGACTCTACCATTTATTACTAAGAACAAAATACTTGCATACCAAAACGTTGGAGATTGATGTAAGAAGTTATTTTCTGTAAAATCCTTAATTAATAAATCGTTATTCGATGTAGCTGCTACGAAATCTGTATACATTTAGAGTATTATTATTAGGCTAAGCTGATTTTAGACTGAAAGATTGTAAAAAGATCTGGCTAAATATACCATTACAATAGTTAGATATAGCCGTTAAGATTTAATCAATATGTTTAAGATTTATTAAAGTTTATAATAAAATATATTCTCATATTTTTTGTTTTACTTGTCAACTTACATAGATAAGATTGATGGGGTATTTTTTGTTACCTGACTTCTTTTTGAAATCTTTGTGGCGTCTTAGGACAATAAAATGTGGTTTTAGGTTATACATGTGATATTTTAAAGTGTTTTGGCAACTGATGTCTTCCTAACGACCGTTTAGTGTACCTAGTGGTCCGCGTACCGGAACTACCGGACTACTAAGACAGAGCTCGCGGGTTCCATCCTTGCACGTAAGTAAGTATACTACACGTATGTTTATATCCGTTGTCTACCCATAATACACATATACAAGATTAAGTTAATAGAAACTTAATATATTCATTATGACTGAGTTTGTTGCGGCACTTCTTCTCAGCACTTCAAATGTTGGTCTCGAAGAACTGGTAGGGCAAAAAGATTAAGAGACATGTCATTATGAATGCTCCTTAAGAGCAAAACTTTAAGTTTTTTATTTAATTAGTCTTTAATTTTTTAAATTTAAATTTTACTATTTATTTTGACGATTTGTAAGCACTTTTATTAGTCCATGCAAATAAAGGAATTTTGGCTTTGACATTATGCCTTTAATGTAACCTGCTCTATTATACGTCTATTATAGTCATGCCTGAGGAATACGTTAAAAAGGTCAATAAACAAACTTGAAATTAAAACAAACGAGTAACATTTATTTCTTATATTTAATTTATCAAATTGCAAAGTCGGAGGTTATACATAGTNTACATAGTTGGAGCAATGCGGAACAGCGTTTCTATTGTTGTTATTTGTTTGAACGAAGGACGATGGCTTCTTTAAAGCTTAAAGACTTGAGAACATGGGTTATGGCTCATTTTGATAATGTGATCTTGACTTACACTAAAATTATACTAATTTACAGAGTCCATGAAGAGGTTTGAGAAAATTAATCTGCAAACTTAAACAAATTATAAATATTTATTTATTTATTCATTTGCATTAACATATTAGTGCCAATGTTACAAATACAATGAAACCTACCTACAAATGAAAGCCGAAGCTTTTGTATTTAAAGTCCTTTTATCTCAATAATTTAAATCAATGTTCGTTTGTGGTAAGTGAATAATTTCCGTTTCACCTAAATATTTGTGTAGGTACAGTCAGGGTCATATAATTCGTGACACCCAAAGCATAGAAAAAACAAATTTGCCCAAAGTGGCCAATAACTTGACAACACAACTTTATTCCAATTGTGTTGCGAACTTTGGCTAAACGACGACACAACTTCAAGAAATCGACTGTAAAAAAACAAACCATATAAAGTCATGTATCCTAGTGTGCCATACTTGTGTTACTAACCTACGTTTTATATGAATTTGTATGCACAATTCTTACTGAGCCTTGATGCTTACCATTATGTTTATCAGTTTCTATATTATTAAATTTATTAAGCGATTACCTTCCCATGCAATGAAGGCTAACTGATGACAAAGAGATATAAGTAGAATTAACAAGTTATAATTTAAAATCCCATTTAAAAATAAATAATAGGTATACCTTTTCAACTAATCGTAGCTATTGCTTAGTTCAGTTTGTTTGCTTTTAAAGTGGAAATATTATAGCCCATAATTCCGCGTATTCGAACCTGCAACCACAGCTTGTGCTGACTCACCCTCCAGGCGACTAGCTGTCAGAAGGTGTAACGTAACTATAAAATGCCATCAAAACGTTTTCATGTAAAATGTTATCAAGACGAAACCGTACATAGTTCGCTTTGTGAAATTTATCAGATATCATGTAGATCCAAGCTTTTCTTGGATCTTTATGATCCTACTAATAATATAAATGCGAAAGTTTGGATGTCTGGATGTCTGGATGTTCGTTATTCTTTCACGCAAAAACTACTGAACGGATAGAATAACATTTAATAGGCTATAATTTGTGACCATCTGTTACAAACTAAGTTTCACGCGGGTGAAGCCGCGAGCAAAAGCTAATTCTATAAATTCTACGCGCCCTAACTATACAAACTCTATAGTATGTAGCAGGGCCTTTTCACTATGTCACGTGCGCGAAAAGTGAATCGACTATTGTGGTCAAACCACTTGTAGCACAAGCATATTTAACTTACCACGAAGGGTTAACGGGAGTATTTACAAATTGCTAATATTCTTAAAAAAATATAACGTTCTTATGAATTGTAGTACATACAATACAGGTAAAAGCTGTTTTTAAAGCACGTTTGGTTCGCTACCTTTATGAGGTCGTCGGTCCACCTTGTGAAGAATCCATGTCCAGAAATGAATTTCACTCGTAATAATATCAAGCTGAGCTGAAGCTGAAATGCCCAGATCTTGTTATAAGCACAGTATCTAATGAGAACAATAGGTATGAATAGAGTAATTAAACTTATCTTAGCTGGTATCTTAAGACTTGTTATGCGGTCTGTAAATACCTTGGACATATTTCAGAGTAACGAATACCTACCTCAACACTTTTTATCAACAACTTCTAAAACGAATATCGAGCTTTTTTTTTAAAAAAAGAAAGGTTACCATACCTTTTCGATAAGTTGTTTTGTTAGTTATTCTGGACAACTATCAATGATTGTTTAACTGATTCGTAATGGATTACAATGCCAGGGGTCGCGGGTTCGATTACCACACAGTACAAACATTTATGTGCATGAACATATTTGGGAGCATTAGTCTGGGTGTTTACTATATTGTATATTTACAAAAAGCGTATAAGTATGTTTATATTAGAGATGAAACGGATATCCGGTAACTATCCGGTAGGCCGGATATCCGGCCTAAATTTACTATCCGGCCGGATACCGGATAGTAACTCACTATCCGGCCGGATACCGGATATTAAAAAACTACGACAATTTCCTATTAATAAAATGAAATACATTAATCTTTGAGGTAAATATAAATAAAATGGCTTTTAATAATGGCGGCTTTTATTTAAAGTCCAAAAAGTTACAAAAAAGCCATAGAAACTTATGACCTTTTCAAAAAATAATTTCCTTTTCTGGGCTATTCACTCTAATGACGAATACATAAATAGTAAATACTAGCGGCCGCCCGCGACTTCGTACGCGTGGATCCCGTTTTACCCCCTGCATCTATCTTACGCGGTTTAGATTTTTTCATACAAATGTTTTTTCCCGCTAACTCCCGTTCCCGTGGGAATTTTGCAATATCCTGTTGTAACTAAGTTTTAAGTTTACTAAGGTACCTGCATGCCAAATTTCAAGCGTCTAACTTAAGCGGTTTAGATTTTTTATACAAAAGGATTTTCCCGCTAATTCCTGTTCTCGTGGGAATTCCTAAGTATACTATAACCTGCCCAGGAGTATAAAGAATAAATGTACCAAGTTTCGTTAAAATCCGTCGAGTAGTTTTTGTTTCTATAAGGAACATACAGACGGACAGACAGACAGACAGACAGACAAAAATTTTACTGATTGCATTTTTGGCATCAGTATCGGTCACTTATCACCCCCTGATAGTTATTTTGAAAATATATTTCATGTACAGAATTGACCTTTCTACAGATTTATTATAAGTATAGAAGATTGCCAAATAAAAAAAGCGATCTTTTTTCACTGATGGTCTGATGACATGATGCATGCATGCAGTTCAGTCAGATTACGCAACAAGTAAACTAATTTAATTTTCGCTATTCAATCACACACTCACGATAGCAACCGAAATCGCCCGAATTGATCTGCCCCCTAGACAAGTGGCAAAATCTGACATTCTATTCGAACGGATTCGATTTTCGAAAAGTGTGACTAGTCTAGTCTACAAATACCTATATCCCCACTGATCGCGTTCGAAGCACCTGTGCGGCGCTAAACTCGTCACGACATGCAACAAGACAATGGGCCAACTATCCGGCCGCCGGATATCCGGCTATCCGGCCTAGCAGCTGGCCGGATATCCGGTATCCGGTATCCGGCCAAACCACTATCCGTTTCATCTCTAGTTTATATTGCCTGGTATCCATAATACAAGCTCTACTTAGTTCGGGATTGGACGGCGCAGTGTATTGTCCAAGAATATCTATTTTATTACGGGACTATNTTGAGGACACTAATCGCCTTAACTTACCACGAAGGGTTAACGGAAGTATTAACAAATTGCTAATATTCTTAAAAAAATATAACGTTCTTACGAATTGTAGTACATACAATATATTATGTAAAAGCTGTTTTTAAAGCACGTTTGGTTCGTGAAAGGACACTAGAACATAACATAATAGAGCCGCTCGTTGTTTTGTTACAATTAAATGCTCTAGTCCTGTGTTTTTCATCCTGTGGGTCGCGGCCCCCTGGAGAGCTCGTAAAAACTACCTCAGTAAAAAATCTGAGAAGTTTTAAAGCTAGATTAGGGATGTTTCCTGGGTCAAAAAGCAAGAGTTTTAATTAGTCCGTCAATTAACTTATCAAAAAATACCCTACACGTATTTTTAACTTTTTCAAACTAATGAAAATTTAAAGAGATAAAGCGCGCCAAAGTTCATAAGAAGAGGCCCGTGACGTAAATGAGTGCATAAAAGTGCCGCACTATGTGACGTCGCGCGGAACTTCAACGCACCATAACTATGTAATTATTTGTTAGATTGATAAATAAAAATATAGGTGTCCAATATTTTTTTATATTAAACATGACGGACTAAAAAAATTTTTTTCGAAAGTAGCCTTTTATCCGAAGTCTAATTATGCAACTGCATAAATGTTGTATAGATTGAAGAATTCGGTCCCTACAACATCTTTGTAAAAGGCATGAAAAAAAACCGAAAGGTCGGGGGACCGCAAAATTTTTTTTCATACTAGGGGGGTCGCGTCATGAAAAAGGTTGAAAAACACTGCTCTAGTCTATACTAGAGGTGGGCGCCACGCCGGCGCGCCGCCGCCGCCGCGAATTTTTTCACGCCGCCGCCGCCGACGACCAGCTGTCGGCGCGCCGATACTGATA